TTTCCTAGTGTTAAATCCACCTTAAAGGATGAAGTCATAGAACGTGTTGTCTTCTTGGAAAAAGTTACTCAGAGTGATCTTCGCAGGAAGTTCATTTGCTTTGCCCAGAACTCCATTGGGAACACTACTCAGTCCATCCAGCTAAAAAAGAAGACAGGAGGTGAGCCTGAAGGTGGATGCAGAATGCACGCAACTGCTTTTACCTGGGAGGAGAGGAACTTTCCTAAAAAGTAGTCATGGTAATGATAGCCACAAACATGCACTAGATGCCAAGGTTCTAAGTATGCACTTTGCTTGTGTTGATTCACTCAATACCTTCACCAAGGCCACGCAACAGTAAGTTCACATTGGTGATCTAGAGCTAGTCCTCTTACTAACATTTTGCATACAGGGGCTGTGTTGGAAAAACCTGTCATTTGTTCATTCACTCATTCATTCTTCCTAGAAAGACCTACAGAACATGCCCTACATGACAGGCATCATGCTAGGACCTAGCCCACTTTCTTATTTTCCTCCCCTGGCTTCCAAATCCGGAGCATGTGATGGTCTGGAGATGGAGAGTGGAGAAGAGAAAGAAGGGAAATGCAGAAAAATGCTCAATTTAGGAGTTATATGTATATATCACAGATTGTGGCTGGAGAGGAAATTCCTGATAAGGAATGGCTTTTAAATTTCTTTAAGAAGTTCAGAGTTGAAGGTGATATCATTCATTCACCGATGAATCGAGATGAGAAAACAACACTTTTGGAATGCTTGTGAGGCTTCCCTAGGACACACTTCATGCGCGGCTCCTGGTGGATGCTCTGTCGAGGTGTGGGTTGAAGGTGCCATGTGTTAGGTACTTTAGAGGTGAGAAAGCAAGTTGGAAGTAGCTCTGGGCTTCAGGAACTTTAGATTTTAGTAAATTTGACAGCACATGAAAGTAAATTATAGTAGGCAATGAGAGGGAAGCTTATCAGGGAAAAGTAAATAAAATTAGTTTTTGTCAGTTTCCCCGGCCACCCCCAATCAGGAACCGGCCATCATCCTGGGTTCTCTTGAGTTCATTTTATGACAGTTCCTTCAAGATGTGGTTTAAGACATGCCCAGAATCGAGAGAAATGTTTTCAGTGGCAGTGATTCCGGTAAATCTCCTCTGGCAGAGGTGCTCGGGTGCTGTGTGAGCGTGGGGGTGTCGGGGGGTGCTCGGCCTCCGTAACTGCTCACCCGCAGCCGCGCGTCTCTGTCCCCAGTGGTGTTCCTGTATGCCCTCCTGGGCACTGTCTCGGCCCTGGCAGGCCTGCTGACCACAGGCGCGCTGCTCTACATGTACTGGATTGAAATAGTGCTGCTCTACCGAACCTACCAGAGCAAGGATGAGACACTCGGGGGTAAGCGACCACCTCACCTCTGCTCTTTCCCCTCTGAATGGACCTAGATGGAGAGAGCGTGGGACAGGCACGTTCCCGGAGGGACAAGGTCATGGCCCCCAGCTGCTGGCCTGGTGGCTTTGCACCTGGGAGGGTTGGGACCCCAGGGGAGAAATGACCTCTTCTCATTCCAGTTACTAGGAATCTTGCCAACAATGCTATTGTAGGACATCTTGGACTTAAAAATGACTGTCCAGTTGACATCCTAAAGCAAGATGGTGGATGACTTAGCATCTCCATGCCTCCTTCGTTTTCTCTTCTGTAAAGTAGGGTTGTAATCACTATGAATGCCATGTGGGCTCGCTGAATGGACACCCTGAGGGTTTAGAACAGCATCTAGCACATCGTAAGCACACAGGACGTGTCAGCTCCGGGCTTCCCAGGTGGCACTTTTGGTAAAGAATCTGCCTGCCAATGGGGATTAGCAGAATCCAATCCCCTGTGTTGGGAAGATCCCCTGGAGAAGGGCATGGCAGCCCACTCCAGTATTCCCGCCTGGAGAATCCCACGGACAGAGGAGCCTGGTGGGCCGGAGTCCACAGGGTGGCAAAGAGTTAGACACGGCTGAGTGAGTGAGCACACACACATAGCTGCTTTACAACGTTGTGTTAATCTCTGCTGCACATCAACGTGAATCAGCTGTGTGTACATGTATATCCCCTCCGTCTAATAATACTATTTGAGAGGCATTATGCAAAGGGCTGGAAAATGAGCCAGTTATGTCCAATTTCAGAGCCCAGAGGCTAACTTTGGGGATTTTCTAGTTCCCATTTAGTTCTACAGCACACCTTAGAATCTATGTGTATTTATAATAGTTGAGTCAACAACGGCATTTGTTGTTATTGTTGTTTGGTCGCTGAGTCCTGTCTGACTCTGTCTGCATGGACTGTAGCCCGCCAGGCTCCTCTGTCCATGAAATTCTCCAGGCAGGAATACTGGTGTGGGTTGCCATTTCCTTCTCCAGGGGATCTTCCCCATCCAGGGATTGAACCTGCCTCTGCTGAATTGGCAGGCAAATTCTCTGCTTCTGGGAGGCCCCAACAGAATCTTATGAGACCTTAAAAATATCCTAAAACAAGTTCCAAAATATAGTTCTCCATCTGAAAGGGAAAAGGACATGCCTGCTGTAAGTCAGACACTAAACTCTTCATCTACGTTATCCCAGGCAATTCTGACAGCAGCCTGCCAGGGGTTGTTAGTCCCTCATTTTACACACGGGGGTTCAAACACAGGTATGTTGCTGTCAGCTCCCAGCGTGCTGGGCCCTCAGAGTGCTTTGCTCGCTGGGTAGTATCATGCTTTGATGGAGCAGACTGTCCTTTGATGTGCAACTAATGATCCAGCAGGGCTGCAGCTACAGAGAAAGCTTAGAGGAACTCCAGAGTGTGTGTGGTTTAATCAGAGAAAAAGCCCCGGCTGTTTGATCTGACCTCAGGGAAGACGCAGGAGCACCTCAGTGATTAGAGTCTGATTCTGGGTACACAGTCGATGCCCCTCAGCAGTGTGGTTCTGAAAAAGTGAACACAGATGCTGCTTTTTATTTTCAAAATCAGTTCAGGGCTTCCCCAGTGACTCACCGGTAAAGAATCTACCTGCTAATCTTGGAGACGTGGGTTTGACCCCTGGGTGGGGAAGATCCCTCTGGAGGAGGAAATGGCAACCCACTCCAATATCCTTGCCTGGAGAATCCCATGGACAGAGGAGACTGGTGGGTTACAGTCCATGGGGTCACAAAGGGTCAGATCCAACTGAGTCGCTAAACAAGGATCCCAAGTCTTAATTCCTCTCCACTTACCTTAAGGCTTGAGCTTAGGTGGGTATTTACATTCTTCCTTGTTCCTCTTTCTCAGACCAAAAGGAGTTTGACGCCTTTGTATCCTATGCGAAATGGAGCCCCTTTGAGAGTGAGGCCTCTTCGTCTCTAAGTGAGGAAACCTTAGCCCTGAATCTTCTCCCTGATGTTTTGGAAAACACATATGGATACACCCTGTGCTTGCTTGAAAGGGACGTGACCCCCGGGGGAGGTAGGTCTGTAGCCGGCAGAAAACGCAGAAGGAGAGCTACAGGCATGCACTCTCGGTGTTGTCCTCCATTCTTTCTCTTGGGCTACGGGAAGGTTTCATGAGCTTAGAACATCCTGGGCAACAACACAGAAAGCCATGTGTTGCAGAGACATGCTCCATTGTGGGGGGGAAAAAATCCATCTTCAGGAAAAAAAAAAAAATATATTGGAGCCCAGAGAGACATCCAGAACAAAGATATCTTTTCTGGCTCCTCAACCGGAAGTTAGTCCTGTCCTCCCAAATGAGTGACCCCTCTCCTTCCTGGGACTGCCAGCCACAGACTCAGCATTGGGCCCAGCAGGCTCCCAGGCCGGGCACCCATCAGATGTGCAGACCTCATGCATCTCACCATCCTCCTCTGCCTCAGAGGCCCCCACCCAGGGGCCAGGGACATTACATGCCCCTCCCTCACTCCAGTCAACTTTGTTCCAATGAGTTTTGATCCAGGAGGAACTGAGAAGATGAGGGGAGAGAATGCAGGGGAGGAAGCTGACACCAACAGTCACTAGACTAGGAAGTGTATCTCCAACTGCCTGTAGAGTTAGTTGATGCAGTAGAAGTGATCAAGAAAACCAGGCTTCTCCTTTACTTGGCCATCGCAAAGAATCCCGCTGGGTGGATCTGGGAGGTTCAAGGTTATGGTGACTCAAGGTTTAACAATAACAATTGCAAATAATTAAATTCCTTTTCTCTCCAGTGTACACAGAGGACATTGTCAGCATTATTAAGAAAAGCAGGAGGGGAATCTTCGTCTTGAGCCCCAGCTATGTCAGTGGACCCAGCATCTTTGAACTACAAGCAGCAGTGAATCTGGCTTTGGAGGATCAAACACTCAAACTGATTTTAATTAAGTTCTCTTCCTTCCAAGAGCCAGAGTCCCTACCTCATCTAGTGAAAAAAGCTCTCAGGGTTTTGCCTACCGTCACCTGGAAAGGCTTGAAATCAGTTCCTCCCAACTCTAGATTCTGGACCCAAATACGCTACCATATGCCTTTGAAAAGCTCCAGGGGAGTCACTTGGAACCATCTGAGAATTATCCCATGGATTTTTTCTCTGGAAAAGACAGAACCCACTGGGAGGAGCTCCCAGCCTGGAGGATGGTAAAATGGATGCTGAACTGCCTCCCCCTGCCTCCCATCCTGTCCCTGGTGAGCAGAGACCTTGATGGATGAAACACACAGCACACACCTGGCTGATATCACCGGGAAGGGTCCTGCCAGCCTTGAGCAAGCTTGGTCAGCACTGGAATGAACGGAAGCTGTGGTGCAAGGCTCTGATTCCCTGGACAGGACAGAGAGAGGGAGAATTCTCCAGACTCCTGCACACATTCAGCCCACAAAGTCCCTAAGATTTTCCTAGTGGTCTGAGCAGAATCGGCAGGTACAGAATCGGCACTTGGTTTTGTGGACATGGACTGTTGTGTCTGTTATGTATCGTACACATCACTTTTTATATCTTTGCAATCAAATAAATATTACTTTATTAGAAACAAGTGATTGAAACTGTCAGAAGCATCTCTGTCAAGAAGATGATTCTTATTCTGTGTTTGCCATTCACTGGAGCCCAGAATGCAAGGAGGAAAAGAGATACCAGGGGTCAAGGACCAGACAGGACCTTGGTTCATCTCTACTGTGTCCTCGAGGGAACTAGAAGGAAGACCCCCTTCTTCTTGGCTGACACAGCCCTAAGTCAGGACACAGGCCTTAGGGAGCAGAGTGGGGTTAATTTCAGCTCCTCCTCGTCCCCTTGCCTTTGTACAGGGCCTGAAGTCCATGCTTTACTCTGGATCACAGGAAGTGGGGACCAATTAAGCCAATGTGATTTGGCCAATGCAGAGACAAGGAACCGACTAGTGGTTTTGCATGCATGCATGTGTGTGTGTGTGTGAAGTCACTTCAATCCTGTCTGACTCTTTGCAACCCTGTGGACTGTAGCCTGCCAAGTTCCTCTGTTGATGGGATTCTCCAGGCAAGAATACTGGAATGGGTTGCCCTTTCCTTCTCCAGGAGATCTTCCTGACCCAGGGATCTTATGTGCAAAATACCGTGTTGGCCTGAAAGTTCATTCAGGTTTTTCCATAAGATGTTACGGAGCTTTTTGGCCAACCCAATAGAAAGACAGTGGCAAGAGGCAGCAGCCAAGACAACAGTCTGGGAAATAATTGTCTACACTGGTTAACAGACAGCAGTATTAGGGCTTGAACAGTGCTTAAGTCTGAACCACTGGCCCACTGAGACTGGGTGTCCCCATGTGCTTCCTGACCCTCTGGTCTCCGTGTGTTCCTCCTAAGTGATGGACCATCCGCTGGGGGACCAAGTACCTGTTTCTCCTGCACAAGGCTCATTTCATTCTCACCAGTGCGTTTTCCTGATGAGAGTTCAACCTGCAGTTAAAACAGTGTTCTCGTCACAGGCGGATGTCCGAATGTCACGCTCTGTCTTCCCCATTTGTCATTGTTGTTCAGTTGCTCAGTCATGTCCAACTCTTTGCAAACCATGGACTGCAGCACGCCAGGCTTCCCTGTCCTTCACTATCTCCTGGAACTTGCTCAAACTCATGTCCGTTGAGTCAGTGATGCCATCCAACCATCTCATCCTCTGTCTCCCCTTCTCCTCCTGCCCTCAGTCTTTCCCAGCATCAGGGTCTTTCCAATAAGTCAGCTTTTTACATCAGGTGGCCAAAGTATTGGAGCTTCCCCAATAGAAGGGAACGATTCATTTGTGCAGTAAAGCAAAGCAGCTTCTGGGCTGATTGACACATTATGTGTCCCATTCACTGGTATGAGCGTGATCCAGGTCTAAAGTCGTTGTCATATGGCCACGGCTTAGTGCCTGTGGAAAGGCCCTGACGTATCTTTGCACAGAGGCACCCACATCACAAAAACCATGGTGGCCTGGCATTCAGCAGTATCCTTGTTGGGAATTTCAGTGATACAGTTAAAGATGAGTTCCAGGGTACAAATTATTCCTGGATGGAGCTTCTTGTGGGAAGCCTCATTGCAGGGTCTCAGAAGGGAAGGAGGCACACAGCCGTTGTGCCATGGGGTCAGGGGGATGACCCGAGTCCTTGGTTTTCCGGTCGGTCACTCTCAGAGAACTAAGCCTCAGAAATCTCTTTTGGCCACTTTATCCAGGTTTCTTTTATTCTAGAATAAGCATGGCCATAACTGATATTTCCGGAGGTCCAGAGTTTTGTTCTTTTTAAAATACTTACTTATTTATTTATCTGGCTGCGCTGGGTCTTAGTTGCAGCATGTGAGATCTTCAACCTTCAATTTGGCATGTGAGATCTTTAGTTGAGGCATGTGGAATCTATTTCCCTGACCAGGGATCACACCCAGGCCTGCTGTATTGGGAATGCCGAGTCTTAGCTACTGGACCACCAGGAGGTCCTTGGAGTTTTGTTCCTAGATTAACCAAATATTTCTGCATAACACAATAAAGAAACTAGGTCTACCACTGACAGAATACACTCTTTCAGGTGAATAGGTGCAACTGAGGATGACAAATTAACATTTAGGATAAAGCTTTATTTATATTTCTTACAGGTAATTCAATCAAATGAGGTGGACGGCCAAAACAAATGTATATACAGGAGACTGATGGTCATTAAACAATTGATCTCGGTAAAATACAACGTGAAGGAATCATTGTTTTTTCCCACCGCACCTTCTAAATAAGGTGCCCATATGTTCTGGTTCTGCTTTACACCTGTTGCCCAAGTCGTTTTCATAGGGAGAGTATAATTTCTGATTCTGAAAATGTGTCCCACTTTAGAGGGTGGTCATCTTTCCTCTAGGGCACGTTATAGAATGGTCTTTTCCGACCCTGGGTGATATCTCAGGCAGATCAGACAATGTCCCTGGTCTCAACTGGGTTTTAATACCCACATTTACTATCTATATTATTGCCTTTCCAGACTGTAGTACCAGATAAGATGGAGTAAACATTCAACCACCTTTTCCCCACTCATTGTAGCTATGAAGCTTGGATTAGATGCATATAGAAATCAGTTTGATTTTTAAAATATGACACGAAAGAACCTATCTATGAAACAGAAACAGAATCACAGACATAGAGAAAAAACTGGTGGTTGCCAAGGGAGCAGGGGTTGGAGGAAGGATGAAGTGGGAGGTTAGGATTAGCAGATGTAAGTTTCTATACATAGGATGGATAAACAACAAGGTCCTCCTGCATAGCACACAGAACTGCATTCAATATCCTATGATAAAACATCATGGAAAAGAATACTGTAAAAGGTATATATGTATACATATACATATAATTTACACTACTGAGTACCTGCTTGGTTTCAAGAGCCTACATCTCTGTGGTGGGGGGCAAGGGGAACTGTCCATTTTGATTCATGGAGTTGTGGTCTCAAGAGGGTGTGGCCAACATCTCTTGATACTTCTTTCTTTCCTCTTACCACCTGGTGGGAGCGCTGGAAGCCATGGAGGGAAATGCACTGCAGGGTGGGGTGCTTAAGAGCAGCAGCACTCTCGCAGAGGGAACAGGAGATCTGTAGAAGCTGAAAGTACCTTGCTGAGTGAGACAGAAAGGCACTCAGGAAAGCAAACCCTTAAAGCTGCTTTCAAACTTCAGGGCTCACCCCCAGGCTTCATAGGCGTGAATCTGACCCTAAATAGAACACCATAAACTCTGAGAACTGAACTATAAGATAGACTGCTCCCTGAGTTCCAGGGACAAGTCCCAACAGAGCTGAAGGACAGTGAAATAAAACTGACATTGAAACCACAAGGCTGGTTAGAATTTTGGGCTTGAGTCCAACTAGGTCAGTTGCCTGCTTAAACAAAGTTGCATCCTACATAGGCTTTCATAAGATCCAGAGTTGCATGACATAATATTTCAAATATCCAGGATACAGTCCATTGAGAGAAAAACATAGTGACATTTGCTGATGGAATTTTCAATGTAGGTAGACGAAATATCAACATAAAAAGGATAAGGTGGGGGAATTTGTGTGGTGGTAAGGCACACACAGCTTGAAGTAGTAAAATATTATTTCCAAGTAGAAAGTGAAAGCGTAAATATATTTTTATCCCTCGTGTTGGGCTGTGCTCAAGTCGTGTCCAACTCTCTGCGACCCCATGGACTGTAGCCCTCCAGACTCCTCTGTTCATGGACTTTTTCAGGCAAGAAAACCAGTGGGTTGCCATACCCTCCTCCAGAGGGATCCTCCCCACCCAGGGATCGAACCCATGTCTCTGGTACTGGTAGGCGGGTTCTTTACCACTAGCACCACCTGGGAAGCCACTGTGCAGCTGAGTCAGAGCAATGTGAGCGTGCAGAGGGACACGGGGCGGGGTGGGGGTGGGGGCCGGGCGGGGGGTGGTCCATCGTGGGCCAGAGGCTTAAGCTGCATGGTGTCCAGGACAGATGAGAGATGGTTGACTCTGTGTGTCCAGCCCAGGAGGGGCACCAGCAGACATCACACACCCATGCTGCTGAGAGATGGGGCAGCAAGAGGAAGAAAGACACGGAACACAGCGGCAGGAAACAGGAAGCCTGTCCGGCACGGTCCCTCCAACTCCCTCTGCTGATGGAGCCGCACAGTGCTCCCCATAAGGAATAAATGCTTCAAAAACCAAGTCCATTCCGTGGAGCAGGTACTGAATGGTGAATTTGGGGCCAAGAGGTAATCAAGTGATTCCTGGCATAGCATGCACCAATCCATCAATAGCTGTACATGCAAAAATTAAGTACTTCTCAGCAATAGAAGAGAATGTACCACTGAGACACACAACAGCTTGGCTGAAGCTCAAAGCATGATGTGCGTGTGTGCATGCTAAGTCACTTCAGTCATGTCTGACTCTTCGTGACCCTGTGGACTGTAGCCTACCAGGCTCCTCTCTACATGGAGTTTCCCAAGCAAGAATACTGGAGTGGGTTGCCGTGCGCTCCTCCAGGGGATCTTCTGGACCCAGAGACTGAACCTGAGTCTCTTATGTCTCCTGGATTGGCAGGTGATTTCTTTACCACTAGTGCCACTTCAGAAGCCTGTTGCTGTTTAGCTGCTAAGCGTGTCCAACTCTGCGACCCCATGGACTGTAGCCCACCAGATGCCTCTGTCCATGGGATTCTCCAGGCAAGAATACTGGGGTGGGCTGCCATTTCTTTTTCCAGGGGATCTTCCCGACCCAGGAACTGAACCCACATCTCCTGCATTTGCAGGCAGATTCTTTACCACTGAGCCACGTGGGATATATATATACATATATAAATGATTCAATTTACTGTAATAACACAACATTGTAAAGCAATTATATGCCAATAATTTTTTTTAAAAAGAATCTAAAATTCATCTGGTGGCTATTATGTACTAAGTACATTCCTCTCAGACATGTGTTGTATCACTTAATCTTCACATCATCTTTAAGACAGTCACCATCATCACCACCATCACCATCATTATCATAACGACCATCATCAATAACGCAGCTGAAGCTCTGTGGTGTTTAGAAGACGCTTAGGATCACACAACTTCAACTTTCTTCTCTCTACAAAATCGCTATTCCCTTAGGGAAGCGATCACATTAGAATTGTAAGACCAAGCCAGGAGCCACACTCTGGTGTGAAGACGTGTTTCATTTCAGAGCTCATATTCACGCCCGCCCAGCCACCTGCACCACCATGGTGCCTCTCCTCTCCTCACACTGGGGACGCTCCCAGAGTATCCTGCACCCTTCCGCAGCGTCCTCTGTTCCCCTGAGGAGTGGAAGTTTGACTTTGGGGAGCAGAGACAGAGCTCGGCTCTTCTGTCCTGAGAGCGGGGTCAAAGCTCTTGACTTCACTCCAGCGCGGGATGCAGGCTTTCAATTTAGGGTGTGACGTGCCAGCCCTTGATCTGAGGCCATCCAGCTTAATTGCTAGTTGCAGGCTGGGAAAGCAAATGGTGTTTCTGCATAGCACTGGCCAATTCTCTATCACTGCTTTCTTCTCCTTTCTTCCTAAAAAAAGAATCAAATTTGAGCCCCAACAAAGTAACAAGAGCTTTGGGGCAAGCGATGGATACAATTCCAGAAGCATTTTATACTGCCTACTAGGGGAAAGAAGAAAAGATGTGCTGGTCATTTTGTTTAAAACTATTCTTGGAGGAAGGTGATTATCTAATTAACCATGGGCAGGCACAGAAAAGTCAATTCTGCTCTTTCAGAACAGAAGTGGCTTTGTGAAACTGAGGGTAAAAAGGAAGAATACCAGCACCACCCCCCCCCAACCTCAAACTTTGTCTAACTGTGCACAGTTGAAGTCTTAGGTGAAAAGAGATTTCTCTGCTGTGTGCATCACCCCTTAATTAGTTTCTTGAGGGTGGACCGGATTTGGTCACTTAAATTACAAGGGATCCACTGGGAAGAGGATGTCATTCCCTCCACACCACTGGACTCCATGAGTAGATGGGTTTAGAAGAACAGATGACAAGGATCACAAGGATTCTTGGGATCTGGCACCAAAAACGGTCAGAGGAAGCCAGGTTTCTACTGCTAATACAGTCATCAGACAATTAAACCAAAAGCTTCAGATGGGTCAGTAGTTCGCTGACCTAAAATTCCATAAAAATTCCTTTGGTGCTCTGCCTTGCAAGCTGAGTTTTCCCTCCAACATATTTCAAATCTATTTGTCTGTGAACCTGGTTTAGATGACAATTACATGGTCACCTTAATCCCTGGGCTTCCCTGGTGGCTCAGATAGTAAAGAATCTGCCTGCAATGCAGGACACCCAGGTATGACCTCTGGGTTGGGAAGATCCCCTGGAGAAGGGAATGGCAACCCACTCCAGTATTCTTGTCTGGAGAATTCCATGGACTGAGGAGCCTGGGCAGATACAATCCGTGGGGTCACAGAGAGTCGGACACCACTGAAATGACGAATCAGTTCAGTTCAGTTCAGTCGCTCAGTTGTGTCCGACTCTTTGTGACCCCGTGAACCGCAGCACACCAGGTCTCCCTGTCCATCACCAACTCCCAGAGCTTACTCAAATTCACGTTCATTGAGTCGGTGATGACATCCAACCATCTCATCCTCTGTCATCCCCTTCTCCTCCTGCCCTCAATTTTTTCCCAGTATCAGGGTCTCATTTGAAAAAACGAGTCAGCTCTTTGTATGAGGTGGCCAAAGTATTGGAGTTTCAGCTTCAGCATCAGTCCTTCCAATGAACACCCAGGACTGATCTCCTTTAGGATGGACTGGTTGGATCTCCTTTCAGTCCTTGGGACTCTCAAGAGTCTTCTCCAACACCACAGGTCAAAAGCATCAATTCTTCGGTGCTCAGCTTTCTTTATAGTCCAACTCTCACATCTATACATGACTCCTGGAAAAACCATAGCCTCGACTAATACTTAATTGTTAATTGAACCTTCCAAGGTGTAGTACTGAGGCTGCCCACGAGGTGTCAGCAGTGTAACTGCCAGAGAACTCAGGGAAAGCATTTCATTACAGAAGTCAAATCTGAACAAATAATTAAGTGTGGGTCAAGAGCTACCTGCAGCCTTGGCCATTCAAAACAAGGGAGCTAGCAGGGGAAGGAGAGAAGGAGCAAGTGCAGCCCAGGTTTCTGGGAGAGAGGGAAGGACCCTCTTCCTGGCTAGGAGGGCCCTAGTGACTCCTGGAATGCGTCCTATGGTGTTCTTTTTAATTTTCGCTCACAAAATGAAACCAGTGTGCAGTGAAGTGAGGAAACAGCTTTAAAGGAACAGGTATTTCTGCTTCACAAATTGCTCTTCGAATCATGATCGGATGGAAGTCACACAGGTAGTTAGTTCCCCGGGCTTTCTCGAGTCTGTTGAGTGACAGGATGCATTTGAGTCAGAGGCTGTGTTGCCTGAACACAAATGCTCTAAAGGTGACCTGAAACCATCTATACTCGGAACTCAGTGACACGCTCGGGCTCTTCCCGGAATGACCCACGGACTGTGCGTGCACCACCTGTGACTCAGGTGGAGGCTGGCGCGCTCTGAAAATCCTCCTCTCTTCACAAGAGCTGCGCATCACGGTGCACGCCCCGAGAGGAGCCCCCAGCATGCGCGTCCAGGCGCTTGTGCCTTTTGGTCCTTGGAGTTGGTGCCTGTTCCTAGCGACCCTCCACTGTTGTGGAGCATCTTCCAAGTTGAACAGATCCACAGATTCCTCTGCCCAGCATGAGCTTAATGTTCGGTTTGCTGCTGCCAGCTCCCAGCCAGCCGAGACAATATCTGTCTTCACATTGGATTATGACTATGTGCAAATTCCCTACGAGGTCACCCTCTGGATACTCCTAGCATCACTTGCAAAAATAGGTAAGGGCTCCGAGTGTCTTACCTGGTTTGGGAAGTTGTTTTCTATGTGAGATAATGTGTATGAAAATAAATGCCTTGTAGATGGTGGGTCAAGTGGATTTTAACTATTGCTGCTATTACATAAAAATCTATTCTCTTGACTCAAGGGGAAGTCATAACTGATTTTTGTCTGGCCATTTATTGCTTCAGGTTGTGCTATGAAATTTAAGAACCTACTTCTGGGCTCCAGGTTGTTTCTATTTCATCTCCCTTCAGGGTGATAGCCATGTGACGTTATTTGGTATGTAAAAATCTCAAGTTCTGTGCGTTAAGAAATGCGGAGTAAAGTATGCTGACCTTGGGGTGATGCCCACTGGAAATTTTAGGACCCACATAATGATTCTTCTGTAAAATGTGCTTTTTTCATTCTTGGCTATGGAACCATGGGCTTCGTCAATGACTCTCTTTGTTCAATTTTAAAAGTGGTGTGTGATCCTTGAAAATTGACAGAAACCAGGAAACAAGGCAACCAGTGGCAACTTATATCCCTCAGTGATGAGAGAGGGTGGAATTAGAGATGGTATCTGTCGGTAAAATCTTGGTTTACACCTGAGACAAGAGGAGCCAAGGGAGCACTTGTTTCTTCTGTGACATAAAGTGGATTCAAGCTAATGGGTGAAATTCTAGCCAGGGTTCTTACTGCCTCCAGCCAAAGTGATGGATTCCACTCTGAGACCATTTAATCCCCAACTTCACCCCCTTGTCTCCTTAAAAACAGGTATTCCAGAGTGGAAAGTGGATACAATTTTCTCAATGGTCAAGTGTAACATCTCCTTTGCCTTAGTGATAAACTTTGTTATTTGAGTAGATAGATTGTCTCACTGAAGGAGACACAATGAAGTGTGTTGGTGGTTATTTATATGTTTTATCTGGAATGGCTGTGAAGTGTGAGTTAAGCCAAGAAATCAGACAGTTCACTTGGGATGCTGGCCATTTCAGTGAACTCTCTCCTCGTGGATGTTGCGGGCACTGGCATATTCATTAGCTGCCCTTCATAACTGCCATTCATTCTGATCTCATAAGGTATGAAGATAAATTGTCAGTTTGAAGAACTCTTGTGCGGTCACATGACCCAGTGCCACAGAGGGTCTCACATTATTCCTGAGAGGTGCTCAAGTAATCATGGGGTTTCCCAAGGGGATGATATTCTCGCTTCAGAGCTAGGGGCCTACCACCTTTCCTGCAGCCACACGGATGCTAAGAACAGTCCAAGTGATCTTCTGTGACCTTGAGGAGTCCTTTGTCAAAATGCCAGTGATTCTGGTCCCACCCATTCCCTTCCTTTCCACAGGAAGCGTGAAGTTGGTCCGGAACAAGGAAACTAAATCCGCCACTGACTAGCTAGTCACACTGTCTTTTTTAATCTCCATTTGTTCATCTGTGAAATTATTCCTAAGATTTCATCTTGGGGCAAATAAGGGTTTTCTAATGGAAAAGAAGCTTCCATTCTATACCACTAAACATCTCAATGCACACGGTGTATGTGTTATACCAGCAGAAAACACAGACAGGCCTTTAGAGGTGTTGCATGTGCCCAGACTATGTCTACAAGTTGAGAGGCCTGTGAGGATGCTGTTCATTGACCTGCTGCCTAAATGATCTTTATTCTCATGTGGATGCAACTCAACATGCTATAGAAAAAGAAGACAACCAAAGTGGGCTATCAGTTGGAGCATGCCTATTGAAAAAAAATGTCATATTTGCTGGCCTTTAAGAATTCAGATTATTTTTGTATTGTACATGAAAAGAGGGCTTCCCTGATAGCTCAGTTGGTAAAGAATCTGCCTGCAATGCAGGAGACCCCAGTTCGATTCCTGGGTTGGAAAGCTCCCCTGTAAAAGGGAAAGGCTACCCACTCCAGTATTTTGGCCTGGAGAATTCCGTGGACTGTATAGTCCATGGGGTTGCAAAGAGCTGGACACAACTGAGCGACTTGAAATGAAAGTCAAATTTATTGAATCCATAGCGTGATCCAAGTTCTGGGCTTGTAGCTTTATCGTTGTTGCTGTTCAGTCGCTAAGTCGTGCCCGTTTCTTCACAACCCCATGGACTGCAGCACGCCAGGCTTCCCTGTCCTTCACTACCTCCCGGAGTTTGCTCAAACTCATGTCCATTGAGTCAGTGATGCTACCTAACCATCTCATCCTCTGTCGCCCCTTCTCCTCTTGCCCTCAGTCTTTCCCAGCATCAGGGTCTTTTCCAATGAGCCAGCTCTTCGAACCAGGTGACCAAAGTATTGGAACTTAAGCTTAGCAGCAGTCCTTCCTATGAATATTCAGGGTAGATTTCCTTTAGGATTGACTGGATCCTTTATATATGATAGCAAAAATAATAATAATAATAATAATAATAATGACATAAACACTTAAGGAGTCCACAAAGATTTTTTAGATTCTATATTATAAAGCTTGAATCAAAATATGATTAACAATCGCTAGTATTATCATTCATTCTTTTATTCAGTCTTTCTACCAAGACACATGTATTGAGTGCCCAGGCAATGTGTGGGAATCATTTTGGTCCCCAGCTTCAAAGAAGATCGGTGAGTGAGTCTAGTCCTGCCGCATAGGTGCTCCAACAAGGGCCATCTTTGACTTTCAGGCAGGACTTAGTTATCTGTGGCCATTTACGTTTCAGGCCCTACTGTAAAGTCTAAACGTGAGTGACTGTTTTGTCCATTATGGAAAGGAGAAGAGCTGTGATATGTGAAGTTCACCCAGTATTTCCCTGAAAGGGCCCCGATCACAGGCCGAGTCCTCTTCCTGCTCTGTGTGTAGAGGCACCCTAGGTTCAGGCAGGTGATGCGGGCTCATTTCGGGAAACTCAATTCCTGCAAGCAGGATTGCCAGGGGAGACACAGGGCCTGGAAAAAAATCACATGGGGGCTCTTCTGCCTGCCTTACGTATTATAAAAGTTAAGTGTGATTAAAATAAGCATTCACTGAAGAAGGAAAAGGAGCAAGAGAGGGGAGAAGGAGAAGAAGGAAGCTGTTAGTAAGAAATGGAGAGCGCTTCCCTGGGGGTCCAGTGCTTAAGAATCTGCCTGCCAGTGCAGGGGACACAGGTTCGATCCCTGGTCCGGAAAGATCCCACATGCTGCGGGGCAACCGAGCCTGTGTGCCACAACTACTGAAGCCTGTGCACCACAGCCGTGCTCTGTAACCAAAAAAGCCACCACAATGAGAAGCCTGGGGACCGCAACTTGAGAGTAGCTTCCACTCACCTTAACTGAAGAAAGCCCTCATGCAGCAAAGCTGCACAGCCAAAGATAAATAAATAAGAAAAAAAAAGAAACAGAGAAAGCAGCACTCTAGAGGGAGAACTTAAACTGGTCTTAAAGCCAGTGGGTGGGGGGTGTGGTCTGGCGTGTCTCTGGATACTAATTAAAGTCCATTGTATTAAGCTGCCTGCTAATGGTAGATGGAGAAATTCACAGCTGTGGTCAGGGAAGCCCATAAGCTCTGAATCTGAAAATTCCTAAGAAGACCTTCCATGGCCCCCAAGGCCAATGGGAGGGAGAAAGGAAATGGCAACCCACTCCAGGATTCTTGCCTGGAAAATCCCATGGACAGAGGAGCCTGGTGGGCTCCACGCGGTCCGTAGGGTTGCATAGGTTCAGACATGACTGAGGGACTAACACTGCGTCTTCAGCCTTGAATTTCACAACCTCCATTGTTCAGCTCAAAATCATCTTGCAACTCTTCCCCTAATAATCTTCCCGATTAAAACGTGCTCCAGTCAGATTGTTGCAGGGAAGAACAAAATCTGACTACAGGTCGGATCTGTTTCTTTTACTTTAACCTTTGCTTCTCGCTGCGTCTGTTCACTCAGATGCTTCTGTCTGTACATAATGGCCTGCCTCGGTGAACCCAGCCCCTCGGCCTGAAGGTTAAATCAAAGTGCCTTTGTTCAGGGAAACCCCCTGACTGGGTCCACCTGTGGATGGGCTGCAGGAAGGAAGAAATTAACACATCCCCTCCCAGGCTAGCCACCCCAGGAGATATTTGCAAGATTATAGGGCTTTTTACTTTAATTCCTCACCTCCTCTGTCTCTGTGTTTTACAAAAGAAACTGGCATACAGACCCCCAAAGAGAGTTATTTTGAGACACTCTTTTGCCATCTTCTCCATCTGCCAACTTTCCAAATAAAGTTGCCATTCTTTGCCTCAACACCTCATCTCCTAGTGCAGTGAGCAGAGAAAGCTTGGACTCAGTAACGAGGTGAATCTACTCAATGAATGAAGATATTTTTGAAACTATCTAGCTGGGCTATTCCTGACTCTCCCCTATTTCTCTCGGAGTTCTCCCCTTCTAAAATCCCTTCCCTTTGGTTATTCGACTGTGTAAGTCCTTGTTGTTGCTCGGCTGCTCAGTCGTGTCTGACTTTTTATGACCCCATGGACATGTTTCCCTTCACTGGGGATTCGACACCCAGATATACATGGTGTAGAACATCTAGCAGCAGGAGGTGGAATGGGCTGGGAGATGGGGGGGTGAAGTAGGAGGTCAGGAAGACACTGCAGTGAGTGGATGAGAAGTGGGGAGGCCCCGCTCTCAGTGAAAGCCACAGGAGTGGAGAAGAGTAGATATGCATCAGGGGCAGCGAGTGGAAGACGCAAGTGATAAAATAGGTTGCTGCTGCATGAAGGAGCAGAGGTGATGGAGTCCCCATAAGAATGCCACTTGACTGCCTATTAAGTGGCTGACTGTGTGGCAGCGTCATTGGTTAAATCAGGGAAACAAAGATTTTTCATCTTTATTTATCAGTTTGGTTGAGAAGGAGGTGCAAGTTTGGAAGGAGCTGGCGTTAAATCCCCATGATAGACTTTTTTTCAAGTTAAAAATGCTTGTTCTATTTTAATTTTAGTTGAAGTGCAGGTGTATATATAAGTTACAGGTATACAACATAGTGATTCATAATTTTTAAAGGTTATATTCCATTTATGCACAGGTACTAGGTCTTCAGTTGTGTCCGACTCTTTTCAACCCTATAGACTGTAGCCAGCCTGGTTCCTCTGTCCATGGAATTCTCCAAAGAAGAATACTGGAATGGGTTGCCATTCCCTTCTCCAGGAGACCTTCCCAATCCAGGGATCAGAACCTGTGTCTTTCTCGTCTCCTGCATTGGCAGGCGGGTTCTGTACCACTAGCACCACCTGGGAAGATATGCTCTATTTATAGTTATTATAAAATATTGGCTGTATTCTCCACGCTGTACAATACATCCTTGTAGCTTAAGCTTCACCTAATGCTTTGCACCTCTTACTCCCCTACCTATATCTTACCCTTGCCCTGTCCTCCTCCCCACTGGTAACTACTAGTTTGTTTTCTATACCTGTGAAGTTGCTTATTTTTTGTCAAATTCGCTAGTTTGTCCCTCAAGACTCTTGCTTGAGCTTCAAAGTTTTGCATGAGAGCAGAATTCTCCCTCTCATAGCCCTCAGGATGGAGGAGGCAGAAAGCAGGAGGAGGCAGGAGAGCACAGAGAGACTGAGAGGATTCTAAAACCTGCACAGGGTGTGGGAAGCACTTGATCTTGTCAAGCTCCAGCCTTGACAGGGATGCTGAGGCTGGGGAATGCATACTGGCTTGCCTGGGTACCCATCCGCGTCACTCTGAAAGGCCCCTGGCACCCACCTCCCCTGGTGTCCCAGCGGCCAGAGCCGGGTTACCTGCCCGCCTCTCATCGTGGTTCTCTGCTCCGCAGGCTTCCACCTCCACCGCAGGCTACCCGGCCTCATGCCGGAGAGTTGCCTGCTCATCCTCGTGGGGGCGCTGGTAGGCGCGGTCATCTTCGGAACCGACCACAAGTCCCCGCCGGTGATGGACTCCAGCATCTATTTCTTGTACCTCCTCCCGCCCATCGTCCTGGAGAGCGGCTACTTCATGCCCACGCGGCCCTTCTTCGAGAACCTCGGCTCCATCCTGTGGTGGGCGGGCCTGGGCGCGCTGCTCAACGCCTTCGGCATCGGCCTCTCCCTCTACCTGATCTGCCAGGTCCCGGCCTTTGGGCTGGGCGACATCAACCTGCTTCAGAACCTGCTGTTCGGGAGCCTCATCTCGGCCGTGGACCCGGTGGCCGTCCTTGCCGTGTTCGAGGAGGCGCGTGTGAACGAGCAGCTATACATGATGATCTTTGGGGAGGCCCTGCTCAATGATGGCATCAGCGTGGTGAGATGTCCCCACGGTCCCCAGGGGGGGAAGCGGGCAGGGCAGAGGTGGACCCCGGGCGGCCTGGCCACATGCTGCCATTGGGATCTGCAGGGTGCCCACACTGGCTTGCTACACTGCTCACCTTCACTACCTTCTTTTTTTAATTTATGGGTTTTTTTTGTTTTTGTTTTTGATGTGGACCATTTTAAAACTCTCTACTGACTTTGTTACAATATTGCTTCTGTTTTAAGTTTTGTGTTTTTTGGCCAAGAAGGATGTGGGATGTTAGCGTCTCCACCAGAGACTGAACCTGCAACCCCCTGCATTGGAAGGCAAAGTCCTAAACACTGGACTGCCAGGGAAATCCCCACTATCTTCTTTAAAGGGAGAAACAGAGAAGAGGATGCATAAGTCTAGTGAATCTGGTTTTTCACTTTGCAGAAACCCTTGCTAAAGGCTCTTCTGGGTTTTCACACTGGCGCGAGCAACATTATTGTTGTTTAGTTTCTAAGTCATGTCCAACTCTTTTACAACCCCATGGACAATAGTTAGCAGGCTCCGCTGTCCTTGGGATTCTCCAGGCAGGAATACTGGAGTGGATTGTCATTCCCTTCTCCAGGGGATCTTCCCAATCCAGTGGTTGAACCTGTGTCTCCTGCCTTGGCAGGCAGATTCTTTACCACTGACACCCGGGAAGCCTGGGAAAAGCAGTACTTCGAATTTAATGTTCTCTCAGCATCAGACATCACCTTTTAGATTTCTTTCTTAAGTCCTGATTTAGATGATGAAGTTAAATAAAAGATAGGGGTCAGGAGAGAGATAATAGTGGATTTGCACGAATTCGTTGGCTTATCTCTCAGTCTCAGCTGTGTGACTCCCATAGAGAATGTGAGGGGGCACCTTTGCTAAGAAGTCCTTCGGGAGAGAAGCTGAGAAGGGTTTACAGGCCAGATCGGCACAGAGCATCAACCCCAGAGGTGTCTTTGGCTAGAGGTACTGGAATATTGTAGACTGGCTGTTGCACTGCGGTTTCCTTATGTTACTGTAAACCTTCACCAGGGGTTAGTCTCTGTGATTTTATATAAACTTTGATGATGCACTATTCTTATTTTTACATTGATATTACATCACATAGCGAATACTAGAATGCACTTTCAGTGTAAAAGACTCCAACAGTACAAAATTACACCGAGTAAAACAAAAGCTTCCTCCTGGCCCTCTCCTCGCCCCCCTGGATCCAGTTTCCATATCCCTTCCAGCCTTTATCTGGAACACAGGCATATACATACGCATATGTAAGTGTTGTTATTGTTCAGTCGCTAAGTTGTATTGGAGAACTCCAGGCTTCCTTGTCCTTCATTATCTCCTGGAATTTTCGCAAACTCATGTCCACTGAGTCGGTGATGTCATCTAACAATTTCATCCTCTGCCATCCACTTCTCCTGCCTTCAGTCTTTCCCAGTATCAGGGTCTTTTCCAATGAGTCACTTCTTCACATCAGGTGGCCAAAGTATTGAAGCTTCAGCTTTAGCATCAGTCTTCTAGTGAATATTCAAGGTTGATTTCCTTTAGGATTGACTGGTTGGATCTCCTTGCATCATTCTACATAAACTGGGTGGGATTACATCAGATGTATGCTTAGATGTAACAAATCTTAGACTTCTTTCTAGATCTTTTCCACTGTTGCAGTATTTCATAGATGATGTTTGCAATCATTTATTTAGCCATTTCTCCATGGATGGATATTCCCATGCTTGCCAATTTTTCACTTTCAAAAACAATACTGCAATAAGTATTCTTGTTTCTACATGCATCTCTCTTTTGTACTTGTGTGCCTTTATATTGGATAGTTTTTTGAAAGTAAAGTTTCTGGGTTAAAAAGTAGTTGTACTTGGGGGCTCCCGTGGTGGGCCAGTGGTTAAGACTTCACTTTCCAGTGCATGGGGTAAGGGTGCGACCTCTGGTTGGGGAGCTAAGATCTTGCATGCCTCACAGCAGAAAAAAAAAAAATTACATGAAACAGAAGCAATATTGTAACAAATTTGATAAAGATTTTTAAGATGGTCCATGCTGAAAAAAATCTAAAAAAATAAAGTCTTTAAAGGTAGGCGCACCTAAAAAGTTGAGAGATGCTGTTCTAATCACCTCTTCTTCATTCAGCTGATAAAGGAGGGATTCCCACCGAGGGTTAAGGAGTGACTCCAAAAGTTAACAACTGAGATTAATGACGGTGTATTAGTCACTTGTACTCACAGCTCAGGGGAGGAGGACACGACTCGCCCACAGGGTCGCGTGGGAGCTGCACTTGGAAACAGTGTGAGCTCTCAGTGTCTGCAGAAGACACTGTTAGAAGGATGGGGTACCCCCTGGTTCCCAGGGAAAGATGTGCTTGACTTTTTTCTTAAACAAACATTTATCTGGCACATGTTTTGTTCTAGGCACCATGCTAGCCACTTGGGTGGCAATAATGAGAATGAGACGAGGTTCTTGGCTCTTTTTTAGAATTTTTTTTTGTATTGGAGGGTAATTGATTAACAATGTTGTATCAGTTTCAGGTGTACAGCCAAGTGATTCAGTTATACATGTATCTATTCTTTATCAAATTCTTTTGAGTAATTCTGCAAGCTGGCAGGGAACTGGCCCCCAGTTCACGTGGATATGCAAGCACCGGTCCCTGAATAAGGAGCTTATTGGCTGGAGGACCTTACTGTGGTGTCAGGTTGCAGGGGCAGCTTGCAGTAGGGCCACGCAGGACCCCGTTTTACCACATAAAATATTAAACCTTAATTTCAGTTTTTATGTACATAGCTGCCAAGATTTCCTGGAAATCTTTATGGGCTTATATTTCCATAGAAAATGTGTTATTAATAAGTGCATATTTCTTTGTGTTGCTGTCAACAAAGGGCCTTGTTTTCTTAATGTTTTCCCATCTAATGAGATAAAAAGGATGACACGTGTTTGTTGTAATTTGCATGATGGTTAAGCATCTTTTCAACAATTGTAGATCATTAGTGTTTCTTATCCTGCAAATTGGAAGTTCATGTCCTCTCAGAGTTGTCAGACTTAAATAAATATATAGGACACCCACTTAAACTTGGGTTTCATATAAACAATGAATCATGTTTAATAAGTGTGTCCCAATTATTGTATGCAAACACTGATTTTTGTCCACTTTTCTTTGAGAGCATTTACTGGTCTTTTTTTTTTTTCTTTTTTAAAGAAAACTTTAAAAAGGAACTTTTTAAACTTTCTAAATTTTAAACTTTTGGATGCTACATAAAAAGCAAATATTTTCTCCCATTCTGTTCCTTAATTTTTTAAAATCTTGGTATCCTGTAAAAGTTTTAAATTTGTATGTAGTCAAACCTATTATCATATTTTTTTATGGCCCTGGGTTTCATATTTTGCTTTCTGACATTGTACGTAACTAAAAATCATACAAACTTTTAAAAAAATTTTCCCCCTTTTACAATTAATTATGTAAGTCACCCAGCACACAGTTTTTTTAGTATTGTTAGTCATAATTTTCTTTATTTTCTCTTTTTAGAATTTTCATGTATGAGTTTTGTTGAAGTGTAGCCGATTTACAATGCTGTGTTAACTTCTGATGTACAGCAAAGAGACTCAGTTGTATACATACATACCTTCCTTTTAAAATTCTTTTCCATTGTGGTTTATCCCGAGATATTGACTATAGCTCCCTGGGCTCTACGGTAGGACCTTGTTCATCTTGGCACACGATATTTTACTGTGAGAATTTGCCGTCAAAATAGATAGCACTGGGGGCAGGGGAAGGCTTTGAAAATAATCCAAGATATGGGGGTGGATTCACCAGGTGGGAAAGACCCACACTTGAAATTAGAAATCACTTCACTTATTCATAATGAGAATGTCTAAGTGCTGAGCATGACTCAAGGCTCATCAGACTGGTACAAGCTTTCCTGCTGGGTGAGCATCTCAGAAGGCCACGTTGTCAGCGAGTCGCCATAGGACTCGCTGGACTCCAGTCTGCCAACCCATTCAGAGACCTCATTTCTCAGCGTGTGGCCCTCAAGCTGTGTGCCTCAGAATCCCCCAAGTGGGTCTGATGGGCACTCAGACATCCAAACCCCACCCCAGACCCACCGATCACACCCTCTGGGAATGGAGCCTGGGAATCTGTATTTTTAACCAGCATCTCAGACAATGGCTAGTGTTTGAGAACTCCTGGTTCATGGCCTTTAAGTGGCAGAAACTGACTCATCTGGATATAAAATGTTTCTACATTTGGGAAAGGGCTGGGCTAGGCTCATCTTGGAGATCCCCTTTCCCTCACCCTTTCTTTCTTTAGATGCTCTCTTACTTTGGGTTTTGTTACAGTAGAATATGTGACGCCAGCTGGGAACCAGTTCCTCCTCCTAAGGCAGCCTCTCTGAGCTATGATGCCTCCAGGGGTCATCTCATTGTTTCATATCCAAGTTCCTTGGGGTCCCTTGCTGACTGTAATGCCATGTAAGGCCTCTTGGCAACCCATCATGAGGTCATATTCTACTTCCTCTTCATAAATCTTTAGCGTCATGGTCTGTGCACCAGGTGGAGAAGGATTTGCAGACACGAGACAGAATGAAAGGTGAATAGAGTCTTTTAGAGTGAGAGATGCTGTTAAGAACAGTGGGCCATTGCAAGGGAGAGCCAACACCTTTCGTGGGCTAGTAGCCAATTATTATAGCCTCAAGACAGAGGAAACTCCTGCTGGAAGGCTGGCATTAGTTGATTGGTTAGGATCCTATAGGGTGGGCATTTTTACCTGATATGCAGTCTGGGAGCTGTCTGGTTCAGGTCAGGGGAATTCAAGGCAACGGTTGCTATGGGGCTCAGTCACTTCCAAAGGTGACCTTGGTACAGGGCTCCACATCTGTGGCCTTGGTAAAAGCCTTTACACCTGTGATCTTGGTATAGGGCTCCACAGTTAGAGAAACTTAGAAATGACAGTATCACCTCACTTAATTTCCATAGAACAATCTCGTTCTTGATGCAAC